GGCCTGCGCGTGGTTGCTCTGAGCACTTCGATTCGCAAGGTTTTGAGATTGCGGATTCGGAGCGTGTCAAGTTCCAAAGCCTGCCAAAGGATAGCCACATTCCAAAACCCTGGACCGACTTCCGCGACGGATATTTCTCATAGTCTCCCCAAACATTTCCGGGAACGAAGGGGACAAACCAGAGAAGGACAGCTTCTTTCCGGACATCCTGCAAACCCGTACTGATACCAGGCTTAGCTTGCATCACTCCCTCCACCAACCTTCCTGTCAGCGAGACGACAACTGTCAGGCCACAGTAAGGAGCGGGAAAACCAGCTCTTGACATGCTTGCAGGCTTGGGGGAAGACTGCTCTCTTACTAACCTGCTTTCAACTCGCAACACTCTACATCTTAGACTGCACTGCCAGCTCTCGATGCTATCCGAAGCCGGCAACGACCTGGACCACTAGACCCTCTAGACTCTAACACATCAGTCTGGCTGGCCTGCTCCTTCATGGCATCACCCATACCTGTTATCCAGGCTTTGAAGACACCAGACACCGAAGAGCAGGTGTTTGCAAAGGCTCCCTTAGAGTTCGGGTTTTGAGCGGTTGTTGCTTTTGGCCTTGCTGGCCTTGCCCGCGTCTTCGTGACCGCGGTCGATGCCACAGTCTACAAGTTCTTGTTTTTTTCTTGCTTTTGGCCCTCGCGTCTGCATTTGTCTTTCGAGATTTGGGGTTGAGGGGACGCAGAATCAGAGAACGGCGAGGAGGGTTGCAATTGACAGACTCGAGGCAACGTGCGCATCCTACTGTAAACAATCGTTGGTGCGCTCAAATCATCTGGCAGGACGGTTTTGCAACGAGACCCCTTCTTCTCAGCCTCATCACATCATGTAAAGATGCGACCGCTCCAGGAAGAGTTGAAAGTCTTCCCTGGGATGTCGACAAGAGATCCACAAAAAGAGATGCAGCCATAGCAGCCAACACAGCTTGGGCTTTCCTGGGAACTAAGCGGCAGGGGACCCCGTGTCGTCAAACAAGAGCCCCAGCTTAGTTCAGGGGGATACTTTCAATTGGCCGCAGTATACTTCAGAATGTAAGACTTCGCTCGCGCCACGGATCTATCCATGACATGGGCTCCACCGCTACAACTCGCGACATCACTCCATCTTCCCATAAGGGGATCCAGGCTTCGAGAAGAGAGCAAGACAGGCCCATGTCAATCTTTCGACAATGCCGAACGTCTGCTACACAAGGTTCCAAACTCATGGAAGCTTACGGCATAAAGCCTGCCACACTCCAGGGGGCAGCCTAGGCAAGCCGTCTTTCAAAACACTATCAAATTTACCCCTGAACCACCCCTTATCTGATCCGCCTCCAAGCATGCTTGCCATCGCGCTAAACGTCAGAAGGCAATTGACTCACAGGAAGAATGGTTTGCGAGCTGAAAAGCTGGCGGCACAGGCTGTGACACGTTCCGCACCACTCGTCCATTTCAATAAGTTTGGCTTCAGGTCTAAGCTTTGCGGCTTGTCTGAGCCCTGCCCCACAAGAATTGAAAAGGGGATGGCTCTTGTGCTCCATCTGATGTAGGCTTTTATTTCTCGTTGGGGCCGATGTTCATCGGAAATTGGTGAGTGCGTTGTCGTTTTGCTAGTTGGGGGGGCTTACCACGATGTTATTGTTTTATCTGTGCGTGTGTGCTATGGTTTTCCATTCCACGACTGGCTGAGCACACACAGCAGTTCTCAGGTAAGGTGATTTGGGCTCTCGCAGCTTCAGTCAGTCTCACGGATCTCCAGCACCGACGACTCCATCGTCCCCAACGCTTTTGCAAGGTCACGGACATTATCCATGATGGATCAGTGCGAGGCCTATCTGCAACCAGTCTCAACCAACACCAAGAATGGCCAACACACAGTGCTTCATGACAGCAGTATCTTCGCGCAGGCGGCCCAGCAAGCACAACTCACACAGCCTTCGCTGTGATGCTGGGGGAAAACATCAGCCCGCAAGGGCATACTTGGAGCGGCCTTTTCAGATGTCCTTGTACTTTTGGATGGCCTCAACTTGCCGTTGCAGATTTTTGGGCAACTATGTGTGGGCTGCACAAGCATGGGGTACGGCGATATGTGGTGCTCTCTGCAACCGTTCACCGGCCAGTCAGAATCACCAGTACGATGAGAATTAGAAGACATGAGAAGCACAATCTGAAGTTTGAGTCGCATATGAGGCATATACTGACCCCAGGATGGTGAGACTTAGCCACTACAAGCACAAGACTTTTGTTCAATCCAGGGAATATCTGGAATTACCTATTGCTAAGCTAGCTGCTACGTTCCAGTGCTCCTCCAGGCATTACAATCCATAATACTGCGAACTCCCAAAACTATAATCGCCTGCTTCACGCTGTCCTGCTGGTCCGCGGGCACCATGCAGATGCATGTTTCGGTGGTTCCAACCTAAAGCTTGAGATCAGAACCAAAGACTCCCGTACGTGTACCCCATAGATTCATCACGCTTAGGGAGTTCAATAAGCCCTGAGTGTGCTGCTCAACCCGGGCCATGGTCCAAATGTCCAGTATCCGTGTCCAGTTGAGGGTTTTGGGGTTGTTGGGTCGGAGGGTCAGGCACAAGGTTGCTGCTTCAAGCTTGAGGATTCAGCGATGGAGGATTTAACTGTCCAGGCCTTTCCGAGGGTCAGGGGACCTCAGTAAGTGGCTGAGTACTAGAGATACGCTTATGACTAAGGCTGTATTGAAATTTCTGTTCTCTGCTGTCCTGAGCTGATTGTCATTGGGGCGACCATAAAGACATTCCGTGGAGCAAAGAATTTCCTGTCCGAATCTTGTTTGATTACGGACAAACTGTCCTCCAAGAATCTCATCATGAGAGATCCAAGAATCTACACGCCTGGGGTGATGATGAAAATGTAGCAACGCCCAGAAGAAAGGTAGAAAAACGGCGGCTGCTGCTCCTCCTCCTCCTACGCTCCTCTTTCTGTTCCTACTCCTGCAAAGTTCCAATATAACTAATACCAAGGCCAAGACCCAAATCCCGGCCGGATCAAACTGTTGCAAGCGAAACTCTTCTTGGAGATGCATTTTACACAAGGGGAAACTTACATCTTTGGGCATGCCTGCCTTCGCATCGAAGGTAGAATTCTCCATTGCAAGGATATAACATATGGCTGAGAGTGAACTGCATGCTAGACCTCAAACCTCGTTCACCTCACTCGCAATCCCTACCTAGAACACTGGCACCTTCTTGCGATTCGTTCGTCAGCTTGATAACCATATGGGGCCTTCTGACAAGAACTCAAAGAAAAGGGAGCCTGAATCCTCAGGCCTCAAACAGCCCTTGCCAGAAACCCCTTCATGCCCAAAGAGACTGCAGTGAACCTTGGATCCCAAGCCCTTGACTTTCAGCCTAGGAACGGGCCCGCCGCAGCATGGGAAGAAAGGCTTGATGGCTCCCGGCGCTTTCTCTGCCAGCTCATCCTCAATCTTCTTCTTGGCCTGTGGGCCGGCTGCCCAGTCTTAGAAAAACGAATGGGCTGTGAGATTGAGGAGGGGTTAGAGCGCAGCACCATGGCATAACCGTCAAGCTCCAAAGCGCTAGCCCAATCGCCAAAGCCTGAACCTTGCCTGAACCCACGAACGTATGTTTCTCGCAGTCACCTCCCGCATCCCATCAACAAAGAGGACCGGACAAAAAAGATCCTTATTTCCAGACATACTCTAGAATACAGAATGACACCGGTTACAGTTGCATTAGTCCTTTGCTGCTGTTTTCCTGATTTCTGATTAACACGTGCGTCCGCAATACCAACTACAACGTCCAGTTGTCCCCAGAAAGAAACACCATGCAGACCTCTTCACATCAAACAGTTTTTTTCCACCAACCTTTCTTCCTATAGTAAGGCTCCATTTCCTCCTCATGATGCGGACACCGACGGAAGAAAAGGAACCTTGACTATATGCGGGCTGCTTCACATGTTCTGGAGGGTTGGGCGAAACCTAGCACATGAACACCTCAAAATCTATGCCATAGGGTGGGTGGAGGAAATCTTACACCACCTACATAATAGGCATCTTGTATGACGCGGTGGCGCATACCCGCACCCCCTTTTTAACATTGGCAACTGTTCTGTCTGAGGCAGTGCAAGATTTCCGTCATTGGAACAAATTTGTTTCTGGAGGTTTTCAATGCCAATGTTAAGAGGGGGGTCCGGGGCTTTTAGAAATCTATGTTGTAAAAGCGGTGCAGGATTTCCTCCATCCACAGTCGTTTCAAAGCTATCACTAATTTTGGGAGACCCTAAACCCTACATAAGCCGTATATACCACATATGACCCCTGGGATAACCCCATGTCCAACAAAGATCCAGTCATATATGTATATATAGACCCCAATATACGATGATCCTTATTACGGAGACTTCCGAGACAATATCCTCAATTTTGGGAAAGCCCAAAAACACTGAACCCTAAACCCCTATAACCCCTATGACCCCTAAAAACCCCTAAACCCCTTCAAAAACCCTAAACCACGTCCAACAATGACCCAGTTGCAGGACCGGAACGGGGAACTTCGGAGACGGCATGCTCGTCAGCCAAAGCCTGGCGTGACTTTGGGTTGGGGTTGTTTAGGGTTTAGGGTTTAGGGTTAAAAGGAAAAAAAGGGACCTTTGGGGGTAATTAGGGCTGTAAGTATATGTGACCATATATAATGTATGAGGACATTAAGGGGTATATGGGGATAGATGGGGATATAGAGCTGTAGTTATATGGGATCACATATGGGCATAGTACTAAATAGATGAGGCTAGAAGTCCCCGAAATGGGTTTAATTTTGAGGTCTAATTCTTGCCACTTGGAGGATTCCGGTTCTAAGAAACCCGCGTGATTTCAAGAAACCCCATGAGGGTGACATCCACCAATTTCCTAACTTACTGGTTCTTAATAGGGAATAAGGGAAAATAATCGCTATATAACCCTAAATAACCCCTATAATTCTGGGCTAGGATGCACCCAGCAAGATTGCAATGAGGAGTGCCGTTGAAAGAGGAGCCGACATGAGTCTGGCCCTGCCTAAAAGGACAAGCCCCGAAAACGGAATTCCCAATTTCCTAACCTACACCCTATATAACCCTATGTAACCACATATAACCACATGTAAATTTGTATAACCCCTAGGGCCCCAAAGCGGGGTACATGAGCGCCCAAGGCCTGTAGTCCGGATTGATCTTGTCTGGCACTTGCGACTCCTGGATTGCCTCCAGCCTGTCCAGAATTGGGACGAAACACATGCGACTCGGTTTAGGGTTTAGTGTTTAGGGTTCGGGGTTTAGGGTTTAGAGTCTAGGTTATAGAGTTTAGGGCTCATGCTCATGCGACTCCCAACAGATTAAAGTTGAGGGCCTAATACTTGTAAGGGAACGTCGAGGTGTAACAGATGTAAAGGAATAATAACATTGACTATTATGCGTGCTGCCACATGCGTCAGCAAACTCTTCTCGACAAGGCTCGTTACTTTCCTTACCCCAGCGCTCGCCAATTGCAATTCCCCTTCACCTTACTGGTTCTTAGTAGGGAAGAAGGAAACATAATCCCTATATAACCCCTATATAACCCCTAAATAACCCCTAAATAACCCCTAAGTAACCCTTATACAATCCCTATACATATAATCCCTATAGAATATATCCCCACATTCCCTACTACACCCCAGTAAGTTCATGCTACGGATCTGTGTCTGGCAAGGCAGCCTTGGCATCCAGCTGTCCGCAAGGTGACAGTTCTGCAGGCAAACCCAGTCGCCGGTATCCCAGCCTTTTAGGGTTCAGGGTTTACGGTTCAGTGTTTAGGGTTCAGGGTTTAGGGTTTAAGGTTTAGGGTTCAGGGTTTAGGGTCCAAGGGTTTAGGGGTTTAGAGTTTAGGCGTTTTGGTTTCGGGTACCGTGGATGACTATCACTGCTTAGGGTCCTTGTTATCAGAGTTTGGCTGCCAAAACCCGTTGTTAATGAGCCCAGGTGGGTAGTCAACAGGTGGAAACCCTGAAAGGAGGTCTTTTGAGACCTCGTATAACCGCACTGCCCCTATGCAGCCATATGACATATGAGCCGTATATGTAACTACAAGCTGGGGGTGTCCTTGACTAAACCCCCACACCCGTAAACCCCCAACCCATACACCACCAAACTCCTAAACCTAATCCGCATCTATATTTATCTTGCATCAAAACAACACCTTCTGACAGTGAATCAATGTGAGCAGTCTAAACTCCTCGTATCCCCTCAATGACCCCTATAATAGCCCCTTGAAGGAGTTTAGACTCCAAACCCTAAACCCTGAACCCTAAACCCTGTATGAGCCCCTATATAAAACCCTTTAAGGAGTTTAGACCCTAAACCCTGAACCCTATATGGCTGGTTGTCAAAATTATGGTCCCTTTTTGGGTACCCTAAATATTAGGTGCCGTATTATAATAGGGATCGAAAAGGGGACCATGATTTTGACAACCACCCAGATAATCCCATACATGTGCTTGGCGCCAGGCCCAGCTTGATCAGAGCTTCAGCTTTGGGTCCCTGCAGAGGAAGTGCCGCTCTGCGACCATTACGGTGAGCCACACGGTTTAGGGTTTAGGGTTTAGGGCTGATACTGAACTCATAAAAGGATATCGGTAACCCTATGATGGTTACAGCGTCGCCAATATCCCCATATCAAATAAATCCTGCATGACCTAACTAAGTACCCTAAACCTTTGGAAACTATGGTAAGGCAGGATTTCTAATATCAACCATGCGGGATGCAATCTGAGGCAACCGACGGCTTTCTGCTATCTCTCTTGTTCTTCTCTTCTACGGCTGCGCCCACTCCCTGAGGAGCTCTTTATCTTTCTTTCTTTCTTTCTTTCTTTCTTTCTTTCTTTCTTTCTTCCGTTCGGGCTATGGAATGACAAAGAGCTCTCTTCTTCTTCTATAGGCTCTACAAGACCCGAAGGCCTTGCTGGGGCGTACCCCAAAGCCCGCGCTCAATCCAGCGCTCGGTCATCCCAGGAGGCCCGGAGTTCGTGGTCACTGTGAATGAAACTGGGTTAACCAATAGACTCCAAGTTAAACTCCATAATTTTTTCCCACATTCCATTCCCACGTGACGAACCTCCCTACTCCACTGGGGGTGTGAAACTATTGCCTGGACCTGTTCGCACTCATTGGTGTTCACTGTGCAATTCAGGTGCCGGCTCACACTGTGGGTTACACCTCCTCATCCGTACAAAACTGCCATATGCTAAACCCAATCCCAATTATCATTTTGGAAAAGGTGCGTTTCCCATCTCTGTCACTCATTGTGATTTCCCAAGGAACAGATGTTCTTGCCCGTGTTACCGCACTCTTGGCAGCATCCCAAGCCCGCTGGTGGATCAATGTCATATATGAGCTACCCTGTGCAACCACTCACAAACCTACCTGTGACCCCAAATTTCCTTTGCTCCTGCCAGCTCTCTGCTTCCCCGACTTCTGAAACTGTTGAAAGCAAGTGAAACTCTCTCTCGGTGCGATCTCATTCAGTGTCAAAGTGGTCAGCAACAAGCCTTACTTACCATGATATCTACACTGTCATTCACCGCTCTGCAAATTCCCTACATGTTTCTTGCACCGGGTATCCTTCCCTACCTGGCTCACTGTTCCGGGGTGACTATGAATCAGGTGCGATGATTTCGCTATGGGCCCGTCTCCCCCGTCAACGGCATAATTGGCATTTCTTCTTCTTTGCCTTTCTTTTTTCGAGGGAACTGTTGTGCCCTGTGGCTTCATTCGGGATTACAGTGTTTCGCCAGTATGTACACTACTTTCCCGCTTTGATTTTTGTGCTTGATCATTGCGCCTACTCTGCCGAACAACATGCCACTTTGTTATTACCTTACACTCAAAAACTCCTCCCTTGTCCTACCATACCGCTTTGAAAGATGCCAACCCTTTACTGTCTCTGCCCCCATGCTCGCTCAGTTGTCATCCTGATTGTACTTCTCCCTAATCGTGGCAAGGTTCCCAGTGTTCTCACCTCTCTCTCTCTCTTCTTCTATAGGCTGTGCAGCACCCTGAGGCACTGCAGGCGCGAACACCCCAGCGCTCGTCATGTCCAAAGTTGGGACCCAGGAGGTCCGGGATACTCAACCATTAATAAGCTTGATTCCCGTCATCAGTGTATATAGAGGTTATATGGGGATAATGGGGCTATATAGGGGTTATATCGGGATAATGGGGTTAGATAGGGGTTATATTGGGATAATGGAAAAGAAGATGGAAATTACTATAATGGGGTTTCTCTCGTTCTTTCGCACGGGCAACCCTCTCTCTCTCTCTCTGTCCCTCTCTGCCCCTGTCTCACAAGGTAGCATTTCTGTTGCAAAACCCCACATGCCCGGCGGACAATTGAACTAGTTTCAACTTGTGTGTACATACGGCGTCTCACCCAAACCCAAACTGGACCTACACAAGTACATATGATCTCTAAGAGAAACTCCCATTATCCCCTTGTAAGCCACCCAAAAAACTCCAAAATCCTACTGTCAAACCCCTTTTTCCAAACCCCTCCACCCCGTATGAGCTACAGTGTAAACAACTCCTAGCAACCCCTTTAATAATCCTATAATACTCCCCTACACAATCCTCTAGATAACCCCTGTTAGCTGAAGCCTGCCCCTGGCCCAACGAGATGAAGTGCAGCTTCTCAGTGTATCCCTTCTCGGCTGCAAGAGTCAACAGGTACCTGCCCAAACCAGGGCACCCTTTAGGGATGTAGGAGGATCATGAGAAGACTAAGGATTTTACAAGGAAAATTTTGAGAACAAACCCGAACTGTAGGCAGTATGTTTAGAACTGGCAGAAACTAAGGTAATCTGTATCTGTGTGGCATGTTTGCAGGCGCACTCGGTGGGGTCAGCACCCGCTGAGAGCACAAAGATCAAGGGCATTGTTGCAACCGAGTCCTGAGATGGATTCACTGATGGTCAGGCAGGGTCCAGCATAGTACGTAGTTTTACAGAACAGGGTGTGACAGCTTCACCGTATACTTAGTACTATAACTACGCAGCAAAACAATTGGGCCAGTAAAAAAAATGCCCAGAAGCTTGGACACAAAGAGCATATACGTGCACCCAGCTACAAATAACAGAAAGAAGACAAGCGCACAAGCCACTCACAAGTGGATGAAGCATGCCGCACACTCCAGTCCCACTACGATGCACCATGGGCGCACTACACAACGATGGCCGGAATAACCAACACAGTAGAATAAGAATGTGGCTTTGAGAATCAATATCCTAGCGTCTGTCGAGTCACCATACGCTCGGGGCCTATATATCCCGTATCACCAGATACAAAACTGTCCTGTTGTAACAGTGTACATTTAAGATAGGAACGCACATGATTACAGCATAACCCCGCATGCCCTATCTGACCCTACACTACAAAACTCTGTTTTGGTAGAACACAACCTGTGTGACCCCTTGAAGAACTGCGAATCCTGTAAAACTAGCACAGTCTTGTGGTTTCCTGTACTACAATCATACATTATCAAGGAAGGATGTTGGCAATTGGTCCAGCTTTTACATGATGCCCTTTGCTCATGCCGGGACCCGGGCAGCATAGCAGCTTGCCAAATTGAAGGGCGGTGACCTGCAGAAGGGCATACTTCAAGGGCCACAACAGTTTCAATAGATTATTGCGGGGCATTATACTATGATTATTTTACTAAAGTTTTGTAGGAGGAGAATATTGCTAATCATTTGGGCTTGTAAATTTCAGCAGAGCTTCTGAAACCCTGTCAAGAGGCAATCAAAGGTACTTCCCGTCAAATTCCCCACATTTTACGCTTACACACTCACGCTAGTTAGTCTGTATGCGTGCGCCATAAAGCTACAAAATATATACTGTATAAAATGATACCTGTGTGATCTGTGTTCCTGGCTCAATGAAGAGTTGGCCCAGCTCGTGGAAGACCTGAGTACTGCACAGCCACAGGTGACATGCTCACATGTAAATGAAAATTGTCAAACAATATGAGTCCTTGTTGCGGGGCATCTTTCAGGACTTGTGAGCCGTATTGGGACCCAGGTGCTCCAGAAACTTCACCGAGTCTCGATCGCACCAACAGGCGTGAGGTTCCCGTGCAGCACATTTCCCGTTAAGTGAGATCCCGGTATACTGTCTCTAATTGAAAGTATACCCTTCTGAGTCGGAATCCTACAATTATCAGAAAGCTATTGGGCTGGCTTGGTCTAAGGTCCACACCACGTTGCGCGCCACAAAGTTTAAGAAGTTTTCGCCTGGCAAGCCGTGAAAGGAGTATCTGCCAGAATGGTGGGTCCCTGTTTAGGGAGTCGGTGGGTTCAAAATACAGATTGCGCCTTGTTTGCGAAGTTAGAGTTTTGGAGCTTCCTCAAACTTATGTTGCCTCTCTACCAGCCCCTAAATTAAGGACCCAGGTCTCAAGTCAAAGCGTAGCACGGACTTGCTCGGTACACCAGCTAACCTCTCTATTCCTGTGTAGTCCCACATGTACCCCCACCGTAAGACGTGTGAATCATGTCTGTAACCCCACTCCTCTCTACTAACCCTACACTCTACCCCCCCCCAAACCTTTACCCCCTAAACCCCAAAACTTTGACCCTGAGAACTCAAAGTCAAAACATCCCTGGAAGAACCTGAACCGCCCCAAAGAAAAAAACGATAACAAACATGAATATAAAAATCAATAATCATGAACAAATAACAGCAATTGTAACAGTCATGAAGCCCCAAACCGGATAAGTGCCAAGCGCATGCTCTTGATGACCAAGGCTTGTTGGAAGGCCGTGAGCTTTGTATCCCTGCCACAAATATGTGGGATTTTGAAAGTTCAGGTTTAAGGGTTTCAGGGTTTGGGGCCTAGGGTTTTGTGCTTGAGGGTTTTAGGGTTTATGGCTCAGCGTTTGGGGGTTAGGCTTTAGGGTTCTTTCTTGCAAGGGGGTTGGGGTGTTTGGAAATTTATCCTGGCCAGGGTCCATTTTGTTAAAGGCACGGTTGTAGCTTCTCTTCCGGAAAGGATTTGTAGTGACGCAAATCTTGACACGTAGCCAGATGGCCATGCAAGAACTCCAATCATCCGGGCGCGCACCTAAAACACAATGCACGTTCCAAGGCCCCGGCCAGGGCTTGGGCATCGGTCGCTGATACCTGAGAACGCATGAAAGGCACTGACACGGATTTCGTTCCACCAAAGCTTAGATCCTAAGGAACTCAGCCCCTACATTCTGATTTCAAGAAACTCGCAGCAGGGGCTGGGGCATGTCGTCACTCCGGCAGAAAGCTTCCCAGCCGCCATCGGCTGCAATGGCCTGGCCAGGAGCACACTAATTACACGCCTTGCGTTTAGGCTTTGGGGTTTAGGGTCTGGTCTGCGGTTTGGGCTTAGGAGTGTACTTTTTAGTGTTTAGTTATAGGGTTAGGGTTCAGGCTCGAGCCTCGTAAGCATGATACTCTAGATACCCTTCTGTTGAAAGCGACCACGATTGGCCCGGTTTAACATACAGTCTTCCAGGTAAGGTTGCCAAGGCACTACACGGACCTGTCGTCAGAAAACGGCACAGCAAAACATGAAGTGCAGATGGTCATGACCGCGCTGAAACCTGTGGGCATCGCTGTTTCAGAAAATTTTACAGGACAATCTACAGACCAATATCCCGCCATGATCCAGTTGCAATCCCTCCCAAACCCTAATCCCAGATCAGACTCCTCAAACCTGAGCCCAAGAGAGCCTCTTTGAGACCCACGAACTGCATCTCGCCGTTGTGGGCAGTCAAGCGCTCCAGCACGTCCAACTTGATCCAGGCCTGAGGCTACGCTGTGAGGGCTTTTAGACGACAAGGTGGTACCCCGGCAGGAACTTTTGGGGTAGTGATTGGTAGTAGCAGTGATGATAATCGTCACCATCATTCAGATGATAATTTCGATGGTAGGAGGAAGAGTAAGGTATCGCTCCCAAATCAGCTCGAGGAGAACTAAGCGTCGGTGATCGCAGCGAGGTAGATCACATGCAAAACAGTGCCGACATGGCGTGGGATTGTGAATCCAGCATGCAATTCAAACTAGACCGCAAAGCAATGCAACTCCGAGGGGCCAAATCACCGAATAGGATTCATTCCTGCACTGCATACCAGGAGACACTAAGAGCATCATTGGAAGAACCTCAGCAGGGAAACCGCAATTCTTAAACCCTCCCAATTCTAAGCGTCAAGCAGTCTTGTCCACCCAGGCAGGGCAAGGTACGCTCACTTCATCGTCAGATAGAACCCCTTTTCCTGAACAGGATCAAGGTTCAGGGCGCGATGATTTCAACTAGTGTTGCCTCAACATGTGCTAGCAAGGGAGAGATATGAGCTTGAGGGACCGCAGTCCCAAAAACAGCTCACCCAACTTTAGAACGCCAAGCGGTAGATACCAAAGGCGCCGCTTTGTCTGTGAATCTCAAAATGCTTAAGAACTGGTCCAAGCCGGTAGGCAACTGAATTCTCGGGAATAGTCCGTGGCATCTAAGTGCTGCCTAAGGGCCCCTAGGCCCTAGGTTCCTAACACATCTCGCCCCTAGACTTGAACCACCCCAAAATCATGGCAGCATGAAGAATTGGAAAAGATCTCCCTCCAAATACTTCAAACTCTGTAGGATGAATGCTTACAGAGGCTCCAGTCTGCTGCGAGGCTTCCACAACAAACTCCGAGACTTCGCAACAATCTACGGACCCCTATACCCCAAACCCTGATCCCCAAACCCTAAACACGCCTAAGCTCCAAATCCTAAACCCTAAATCCTATAAACCCTAAACCCGAAACCATTATTTGAAGCTTCTGGCCTGCTTCTGCATTGCGCAGGAAGAAAAGCCATTCTGTGGGCCTCAGCCGGCTGAGTCATAAGGGGTGTGTCGTTTGGGGTTTGGGGTTTCAGGGGTTCACTGTAGGGGCTATGTTAAAAAACTGTTGGGAACTCCCAGCTTATAGGGTTCAGAAGGCCCCTTTCCACCGCATACGATTGCTGAGCAGGACCCATGACTTTGAGAAACCGCCACGACTTCGAGTGAAAGGCTTGATGGTCGTCTTGTTCAAGAACTTGGAATGCACCTGCATCAGCACAGAAGGCTGGCAAGCATGGTTAGGTTCGTAGGCAGTTGTATAGGTGAGGTTATTCATAAGTAGAGCATCTTAGCGTACAAGCAACGAAGCTACAAGCAGTTGTCAAAGGGGAAAGATTCTTCTTGATCCAGGGTAAAACTGGCAAAGAAAAGGACATCCCTCCGTGCAACAACAGTACCGGGTGTTGGACCATTTTCTTTTCCATTATCCCTATATATACCCATTATGGTAACTTAATTTAAGTTCCTTAAATCCCTATATTCCCCCAGTTTCCATTTCATTTTCCATTTATTTTCTATTTG